GGGGCCCTGCTGCCCACGCAGCTCTCTCCCTCTGCCTCTCCGGGGGGGGGGGTGTGCTATCTGGAGCATCAGGGGCTGGGGGCGTCTCAGTCCCTGAAGCTGCTCCCCTTGGCCTGACACCCTACATGGTGCAGGGTCTTCTCTCCCCAGAACCCCCCATGGTCCCCACACTCACCACATCCACTTTGATGACCGCATCAGAAGTCTGCAGGGGGGGAACCAAGGAGACAGGGACAGAACTTAGCCACTGGGACTGGAAGTGGCAGGCAGCGGCCCAGCCAGGGAGAGTGGCGGAGAGGGAGCTCATGCAGGGATGTTCCCTGTGCGTTGTAAGCGCCTGTGCTCACAAAGCCAATTCTGAGTCTGTGAAATTTCTGCCTCACAGATGTTTCCTCAGACCTTCCAGGGTGGTGGTTGGCAACCCTGGCTACACATTAGAATGAGTGGGGGCTTTTAAAAATGATCAGTTGCAGGGCTCCACTGAGTCTAAATGGGGGTACTGGGCATGGGGATAGCTGGACACTCCCCAAGTGATTACTGCAGTGAGCAGGCAGCGTCGGGAGGGGAGGCTGACAAGACATGCGGCCTGTGCTCAGTAATGTCGGCTACAGGGAGGGCAAGGGCCTTAACAGTTAAGTGGATGCTCAGTGACACAGCTGAAGAGGATCCTGGTGAAAATGGCCCCACTGGAGCCCAGGGCCTGTGGGATGATGGGGCCTGTGATGTCCTCTTTGTTCACTGATGGCCTGAAACTAGGGGTCTCCCCCTACCCCAGGAGGAACAGACTCCTCAGGGGTGTATCAGGAGGCTGGGAGCTGAGGGGGATGTGGGATCTCCGGGTGCAGTCCCGGAGCCCCTGGCTGTGCCATCCGGGGCCTGTGGTCCAGGCCTGGGCCTCAGCGGCTCCCCTTTCCCAAGAGCCACGCCCACGCTAACTTAGCCAGCTGGCTGGGACTCTCTGGGGACCAGGATAATGGGGGTAAAGGAAGGTCCTTTCAGACCCAGCTCAGGCTTCAGAAGCTAGGAGGCACCCCAGGCTGCATGAAGCACATGACATGAGGAACGAGGTCCATAGCAAGCGATGGGGGGCTGGCGGGGGGGCTGCTCTCTATTCTTCCACAGTGCCTGGACTCAGGATGGCCTGTTCCAGGCCGGCCTCCATCCTGCTCTCTTTGGTAGATGCTACCTCCACATGTGAACCCCCAGGTTTTCCTCTGGCAGCCCTAGTCCCAAAGGAGGAATAAGGAGCTTCCACCTGGAAATTCGCCCCCAAGCCAGGCCTGGGGAGGGTCTTTGGTGAATGGCTGGGAAGGAAAACCAGGGACCCTTTAGAAAGGACACTGGTATTCACACAAGGAAACCATTGCCTATGGTGTTTGTTGGAATAAAAATAATTGCAGGCTATTTGCATGGTTGCTGTTCCCTCTGCCTCTCATACATATATACCACGTGTTCAGGCACGTGTCCCCAGATGCATGCACATACACATGCAGAATTGAGTCCTCCCTTCCAGGGCAGTCTAGGACAGGGCCATGTTCACATGCAGTCAGGGGAGGCCCTGTCCCATCACATGCTGAAGGAGGAGTGACTTAAAATTAATGTATTGTCTCGCAGGTGGACTGGCCGGCTCTGGTAAAGTGTCACATGCAGTTGCACGTCCCCAGCCAGCACGGGACTGACCCCAGGCGCCTTACCGCATCCAGCTTCACCATGGTCTCCAGCTTCTTGACCGGCACCTCCGGCTCCATGTTCACCACAA